TGATCCTTTAGAGGAGCGCTCCCCACCCAGGTTTGTTCCCAAAATTTTATGGAGTTACCGGAATTCAAGTCATACCTGATATTAGGAATGAAAACCTAAGGCTAAATTAGTTGCATCTGGAAAGTTACTAGGGTTAAGTTTATCAGTAGATTGTGTATCTTATAAATGGAAAACAAGGGGAGCCTTGGCACTCCTTGGCCCTAGATTATCCAGTGTCAAGGAGTTACTAAATTGTCTATGCATTATAACAAACTATTGCTAGTCCTTTTGCAGACACGACATTCCATATTCCATGGGTAGCCCAGGTAAGAACTAAGTAGTTGGATGGTTTGAGACAGGATATTCCATCGTGTAGCTCTGGATTCCTTTCAGCACTAATGGAAGATCTGGTCTACTGCAGTCAAATAATTCTGTGCACTTGGTGGCTGAATTTTGACTGGACCTTCTATGTGTTAATTGAGGTTTTCACATCTTTTCCAAGAAAGACTCCATCTTGAAGGGTTTGCACCTAAGGTTACAAAGATGATTCAAGGAGAAAAAGGTGCACAGAATTGAAGACAAGCGTCTCGTGCAAGAATTTGAGTAAAAAAACGTCTCTTCTGCAAGAAGACCATGCAATATGCAGCAGATAAAGGAAGAAGTGGAAACAGAAATGATAAAGCTCCCAGATTCTAGCCAAAACCTGGGAGCTATCTTTGTCAGAGAGCTTTATTAATGCTGCTGGTGTATCTAGAATACTTCCAAGAGATTGAAGATATGGTCTTACTCTTACTCCTGGAGGTCCTATATCAGATACTTGAACTTGACTATTAAATTGTAATAATGTAATTATGAGCTTGGAATTGCAAAGGGAAAAAAATATGACAAGATCAAGCTAGACAGTGAGTCAACACCTTTCAGATTCAGATCAAGCAAAAGGTTAGGCCTTTTTTAGCAGTGACTGTGAGGATGAGAAGAACGAATGGACACATCAAAATGACTAATAAATCTTTAATTTAAGAAGAGGTTCGAGCAGTGATCATGAAGGAAACGTGAAACCAGATTTTCTCCACAAGTGACTTAAAGGAGATGCTATAAAGGTGTGGGTTGAAGCAAGGAAAAAAGAGAGAATATGTGGTTTAATAGAAACAACCCTAGACAATGTAGAGAGGTAGAATGGGGATTCAGGATTAAATAGTTGGTATTGTTCTTTGTTGAGTATTTGTCACATCAAGGAACATGAAGCGGAAAGAGATGGGCCATAGAAGATTAATGGTATGTGGTCATAAAGGCATAATGAGAGTATCAGAGTAACTACAAAAGAAAGAAGAGAATGATTGGAAAGCACCAGGAAATTGGATGTTTTAATAGAATCAGCTAGTCACAAGGAGTTGATACTGTGGCAGATTTTGAAAAGCACCAGTGGTTCCTCTAGATCATCTATTTGTTGAATTACTAGACTGTCAGCCTTGTACCCCACCCACCTTTGGAGTTTCTCTAGGTGATATTATCCATTCAACTGTTAAGTTATTTAGTGTAAAATGTTGCATAAAGAAGGGCTTATTTTGGATGTGGCAAGATTTTTTGGCTGAAACTTACCCCATGAATACTCTGAGAAAGAGGAACATGGAAATTCCCCTTGAACCTTGAATCATGTTACCACGTGGAAGATTCCTAAGTTTATAGACTTCTTTAAACAACCTGAATAACAGACCTGTTCACTAGACATACATACATAAGCAACAATGCATATATATTTATTTACTGTCCTAACCATATACATGAGTTTTCTTTGGTGTACAATATCAAGTACAACATTATATATACATAATAAAGAACTTACTCAAAGGAATCTAGGAGTAGCTCCAAATAGGTGATAAAACAAGTAGACTAAATGGTTTGGGCACGTGCAGAGAAGACTATCTACAGCACCAACAAGAAGTGATCTGCCACAAGGTGAAGGGACTAGAAGAGCATAGTGGTAGACTAGAAAGGACATGGGTTCAAGTAGTAAGAAATAATTTAAGGGCTCATACTTTAACAATGGATATGGTACTGAACAGACAAAATGGCCAAACAGGATGTCATGGATCCATATTAGTGACCACATATATTTGGGACATTTCTTAGATGATGATGATAATGATGGTTGGGACAAAGCTTAGCTGAATTGAATTGAATATGTTAAAAGATTTTAGAAATGCCATTTGTCCTTTTCATTGGATTAAATGGAATATGGACCCCTAGCCACATATTCTTGATAGAGGTTAAGGAAAATTATAAGCAGTGTTGTGGTTATCACTCTTTGACAATTCACTCGTTTCTCAAAAGGATATTAGGAGCATTTCCCAAGGAAAATCATGCTTTTTGTATTTTATCTTATGGTTCTGTCTAGGGGTGCAACTCGGGTTGGTCCAAGTTAGCATTTTGCACTACTTCATGCTCGGGCCTTCAGGCCAGGCCCATTTAATTTTTGACAAAAGCCCAACCCTAGCCTGCCCAAGTCGCATCCCTCGTTCTGTCCAGCAAGTCAAGTTCACATGGAAGGAGAGGCAAGCTGATGTTTTGTGTGGTCTCAATCTATAATGATACCTGGATGGATACCTGTAGATTCCTGGTTTACCTGTGAACTTATAAAACTACACTTTATAGAATTAATACTTTCAGATATGTTAAATGATATATTTACTCAAATCATGCTATATAAAATTTGTATATGCTAGAAATTTAATTAAATTTGGCACAATAAAAGTATTGAGAATTGACATCTAGCTTCAAAAGTAGATATTAAAGCACAATAAAAGCATATTTAGATACGCAAACCTGTGCCAATTTCTGGGATCTTAGGAAACGGAAAGTTTGTCCATATTTCCTGTATTTGTATCGGTATCTGTTTGTATTTTCTAGCTTTGTTTTATTAATTGAATAGCATTTTCAAATGATAGATTTAAGTGTCTACAGTATGCATGAATGTGATGGGGGGTTTCATATTCTTTTTTCTGCATGTTAGGGCCATCATTATCATGGCAAATAAATTCAGGATTTAGAATTTTTTGTTATTGACATCCTCTCACTAAAATAAGAAAGAATACTTTGACATGCCTCTAAGTTTAATGTTATGTTGTCAAATAGTATGTCATGATTTGTTAAAGTCTAGACTAGATTGCTTTGATGTTTTAGGCTGTGAGGTCTTACAATTGTGGTTATCAGTTGATTAAGAGACCATCAGGGTGGCACTCGTAAGTTGAGTTTGGAAAAGCTAGGGGTAGGACGTGGTTGAAGTAGTGAGAAATGATTTGAGGGCCCATAATTTAACAATGGATATGGAATCGAATAGAGTGGAATAATGGAGTAGGATTCATGTAGCTGGTCCCATGTAGTTGGGATGAGACATTTTTCAGTTGAGTTGATTAAAGATTAGATTATTTGGAGGTTATCACTTGATTCATGTAGCTGGCGCCATCTCTCTCTCTCCTTTGTCTTATCAGATTATAGATCTTGCGTTAACTCTTACTGGTATTTCATGGTTACTAGCCTTCTATATACTTCATCTTTGCAGGCAACTCATTAAGCATGAGTAGAGTAACCGTTACTCATATCTCTTTGGTTGTACATTTTCAGGCAACAAAGTTTTGCCGAGTCACTATTACGACGCATGGAGGAAAAGGGAAAATGATTGACACCCCTCTTTCACCCTAGTCTCTTTCCTATGGTTCTCTTTTTCTTATGTTCCTTGGTTTCTTCTATTATGCATTCTCTCGACTTTTTATACTTTTGTATCTTCATGTACATTAAAGTTACAATGCAGAACTTACATTGCTATGAGGTAATATATTCAGATTTGAATCAGTTCGTTTTTTGTTGGTACCTCTTTTCTCAAACAAATAACCTAAAATAAATATAGAGGGGAGTGGAGAGGGAGTCCATCTCGAGGGAGATGACCTCGTAAGATTTGGACTCTCTTCAAGGAGCCAAGACCTGAACTTAGATTGGATGAGTGGTTGCTTCCCAAAATAAAATGATTGGATAAATGTTTATTGTTTTCTTCCATTGATAGTTGAAGAACAATTCTACTCATAACCGTTGAATCCACCTACAAGAACTCTAACATCCTTATTTTCCATATTGATATCTAGGCTTAATTGAGACTGGTTCAACCCAAGGTTTAAAATATCAATATGGGTGCATCGGCCTGTATCAAAGTTGATTTTTCCTATTTTTTTAGTTTTTTTTTAACCTGGGTCAAAGGGGTCGGTTTAAGGCCTGTCTACCCCCTTGAACCGGGTTAAACCTTGAAACACTCCCTGTAGGGCATATTCTGAAACCCCTGATATGATACGTATCGGCCAATACAGTTTGATACGTATCGAAATTTTGAACCTTGGTTCAACCATAAGACTGCAAATGGATGAATTCAATTGTATATAGGTAAGAAGAAAAACAACATTTTGAGAAGAAATGATTGTTTAGAAAGTTGCAAAAATCAGAGTTCAAGAGGAGAGAAGAAGAAGAAGGTGGCGACAACTTGGGTTCAGAGAGATTTTCGAACATAATTCATTCTCTTACTCCCTTAATTCTATTTCATTAAGTTAAACTTTAGTAATGTATAGAGAATCCCTTAATTGGGCAAAAAATTAAAAAGACATAACATAAGAAAGAATAAAGCCCAGATTAAAGCCCATTACAACAAAGAACATAAAAGATAAAAATGATAAATAGCCTATGGGCCATTCGGCCCATCTTCTCTACACTCCCCCTCAAGCTGAGCAAATATGTCAATCATGCTAAGCTTGCCAATATCATGTTGAAGTTTAGCCTTGGGAATGCCCTTGGTGAGGAAATCAGCTAATTGTCCTTCAAAGGTGATGAAAGGTAGACACACTTCTCTAGAAGCCACTCTTTCTCGAATGAAGTGTCTGTCAACTTCAATATGCTTAGTTCTGTCATATTGCACTAGGTTGTGAGCAATGTTGATGGCGGCCTGATTATCACAGTATAACATCATTGGCTTATCATGCTCAATACCCAGTTCCTCCATCAAGGATCCAAGCCACAATAGTTCAGAAACTCCATGAGTCATGGCTTTATATTCTGCTTCAACTGAAGATCGAGCAATAACTAATTGTTTCTTGCTTCTCCAAGAGACAATATTACCTGCCACCAAGCTACAGTATCCAGAAGTAGATCTTCGGTCATCAATGTTTCTGGCCCAATCAGCATTTGTGTAGGCTTCAAGTTTCATATGGTCATGCTTAGCAAATAGAATTCCCTTTCTAGGGGAGCCCTTCAAATAACATAGAATCCACTCTACTACTGCCATGTGAGTATCCCTGGGAGCATGCATGAACTGGCTGATGCAACTGACAGCATATGCAATGTCTATCCGAGTCATGCATAGATAAAGAAGTTTTCCAAATAGTCTCTGGAAGACTCCCTTATCTTTTAACAATATTCCATCTGAAGCAGAGAGTTTATGGCTCATATSGWTARGAGTAGCAACTGRTCTAGCASCCATCTTCCCTGTTTTAGAGAGCAAATCAAGAACATACTTTATCTGAGAGATAAGGATCCCATCCTTAGATCTAGCAACTTCTATGCCAAGAAAGTATCTCAATTNATCATTAATCCCTGAGACATCATTACCAGTCACAACAATATCATCAACATACACAATCAGGTAAACGGCCAAGGATCCTCTCCTCTTCACAAAGAGGGTATGATCAGACTATGTCTATACATAGCCAAAGCTAACAAGGGCAGCCCTAAACCTTTCAAACCATTCTCTAGAGGATTGTTTGAGTCCATAAAAAGATTTCTTCAGCCTGCAGACTTTTCCTTTCAATTTGTTTCATACATCCCTAGAGGAAGAGACATATAGACCTCCTCATGTAACTTTCCATTCAGAAATGCATTTTTTACATCTAGTTGATAAAGTGGCCAGTTTGAGTGTGCAGCCAAAGATAGCAGAACTCTCACAGAAGTCGTCTTGGCAATAGGGGCAAAGGTCTTCAGATAATCAATCACATATGTCTGTGTATAGCCTTTTGCAACCAACCTAGCCTTGTACCTTTCAATGGTGCCATCAACATGATATTTGATAGTAAAAACCCACTTACAGCCTAATGGATCATTCCCTTCAGGCAAATCAACCACTTCCCAAGTGTTATTCTTGTGCAGAGAATCAATTTCTTTTCTCATAGCATCCCTCCATTCTAGAATAGTAAGAGTTTTTTACATAGACCTACGAATTGGGTTAGAAGCAACAGAAGAAAGGTAGGCAAAATATGAAGGAGAGAGCAAACTATAAGAAAGGTGTTTGGAAATGCAATGTGCAGTACACTTCATTTTTCCTTTCCTAATAGCATTGGGGATATCAAGGTCTGGGAATGATGGCTCAAAAGGAGTTGTAACTAGAAGTGCATGAGGTTCATGTGTTGTAGGGGAAACAATCTGCTCATTTCTAGTTCTCTTCTGTTGGTACAACCTAGGATTAAAAAGAGGGCGATGAGGTAAAGGAGGAGGAATAGGAACACTGGAATGAGAGTGAAGTGATTGATCCTCCCTTGACTCATTTGAAGGAGGAAGAGACTCAACTGGGACAGGAAGAGGAAGAGTAAACACCTGTGACAAATCCTCCCCCTTTGGACAATGTCTCTCTAGAGAATAACCATAAAAGGAAGAAAGCTCATCAAATGTGACATCCATTGAGACATACCCAGTGCCAGTCTTCGAATCAAAACAACAGTAACCCTTCTGTGTGGGGCAATAACCAAGGAAGATACACTTGTGGGCTTTTGGTTCAAATTTATGTCTCTAGACACTTGAGATATGTACATAACAAGTGCAGACAAAGACGTGAAGAGGAATAGGAAAAAGATCATTGTCCGAATGAAGAAGACTGAAGGGAGACTTAAACCCTAAAACCCTGCATGGCATACGGTTTATAAGGTAGATAGCAGTGAGAACAACATCACCCCAAAATTTTGTAGGGACATGTGAGGCAAATAGAATACTTYTTGCAACTTCAACAATATGTATATTTTTTCTTTCAGCAACTCCATTCTGTTTTGGGGTCCTAACACAGGAGCTTTGATGAATAACCCCTAAATCAGTGATATAGCAGGTAAGATTTTTCTCAAAATATTCTTTTGCATTGTCGGATCTAAAAATTTTAATTCTGGTATCAAACTAGGTTAGGACAAATTCATGGAATTGCCTCACAAATCTGGGAACTTCATAAAAAATATCCAAGTGAGTCGAGAAAAGTCATCAATGAACAAGATAAAATATTTGTAGCCACCCATAGAAGGTAAGTGGTAAGGCCCCTACACATCAAAGTGTACAATATTAAAAGGAGAAGAAGATCTTTTATTACAAAAGGATAACTATTTCTACAATGTTTTGACAGTTCACAAGACTCACAATGAAGACTGGACAAACTAATTCCCTTAAACAATTCTGGGAATAAATGACATAATGCAGAAAAAGAAAAATGGCCCAAACGAAAATGGCATAACATGACTCGACTGATGGACTCTGTAAATGTAGACCCAAAAGCAGCTTTTCCAGGTTGTTCATGGCACTGTCCAGGAGTATTCAATAGATATATTCCATTCGCCTCACGGCCACTCCCAATCACCTTTAGAGACTCTAGATCCTGAAAAACACAGTAGAAAGGGAAGAATGTTACACAACAGTTTAATGATTTAGGCTACTTACAGATAACAAGTTTGTATTTAGTCTAGGTACATGAAGAGCAGAAGGAAGAACCATTGAGTCTGTAGCCTTGATGGTTCCCTTGTCGGAGATAGGGGCAAGAGAGCCATCGACTAGGGTGATTTTGTCACGTCTAGGAAGTAAATCATATGAAACAAACAAAGTAGAAAGACTGGTCGTATGATCATAACCACTAGAATCAATAATCCAAGGGATCCTACGATTACCTGAAATGGTTGCATGATTGGCAGAATCCCATATACCTGAATGAGCAAATGTAGAAGATGTTGAATTTCCTAGAGGGTGGAAGAAGAGGTCACACCCTCTAGGTGACCGATCATCCTCCCAAACTTCTCATGTTCTGCCTTCATAGCTACTAACTGCTCACTAGTCGTCATCTCTTCAGTTTGGTATCCGTCACTATCTGGACCAACAGCAACATTGGCACTCCCTGCCTTTATATTATCAGACTTCTTCTGAAATCGAAGTGGTAGGAGTTCATGATGCAATTTCTAGCACTTGTCTTTAGTGTGTTTTGGCTTTTTATAGTATTCACAGATAATCTATTTCTTCCCTGTGCTACTTGGAGTCCCTGCAACCCCTTGGGTTTCACTCCCATATTAGCAAAGTGATCATTTAGACCAGCCCCTTGGACTTGGACAAGTCTTCTGCTTTCTTCACTATTTACTAAGGCATATTCTTGAGACAGTGAGACATTGTCCTTGGATAAAATATTTTGCTTTGTAATGTCGTACTCTGGATTTAGCCTTGTTTCTCTTAACCAGTTTTATGTAGGTCTCAACATCCTTAGTGGTGTCCCAGGTTACAACTTCTATCAAATCTATTTCTCACCATAAAGACTTTAGTATTGAGAAGTATACAGCTAATGGTTTTTCCCCTTGTCTCAAATTCTTCACATCACTTCTCAACTTGTAAATCTTAGCCACATTTAATTTTTTGGAATATGTTTTAGCAACACTATCCCAAATTTCCTTTGCTGAATTCATCCACAAATAGTGCTGACTAATCTGTGGTTGCATTGAGTTCACAAGCCATCCAATAATAGTATAATTTTCTTGCATCCAATTTTCATATGATGGATCATCTTCCGGATGAGCATTTTTGCTCCTGAA